TTTTTTTTTTTTCTTTTAGTTCTTCTTCTCTCTTTTGGGGGATCTCTTTTATTCTTCTTGATGGTGTACCCCAACTGTTTCGGTTTAGGGGACTTTGGCAACCGCCAGCTCTCAACCAACACCAATGACTTTTTTTTTACCTACCTAACCAGCACTTTACCAGAGGTTTTACTATTTTTCGGGTGGGAATATTGCGTGGGTGTTTGACTTTTTGTTACTGAGGGTTTACCGAGTTGAGGATGAGGCGCTGATGGTGCCACTGGCATTTATAGATAACTACTTAGCTGTCTAGGTTGGGAAATGTCTATGGGATTTGGAATTTTCGGGTGGGGGAAAATGCGCGGGTATTTTTGATTGGCGACTGAATTTTTTTTCCCTCATTTATCTACTTTTGGCACTACTGCAATTTCAGTTTAAAAATAAATTAACGGAATCGTGTAATTAATCTAATTAGACAGCGAATTAATTAGAATTTATTAATTGATTTTCTGGAGAGACTGAAATTTTTCTTGGGAAAATCTGTAAAATTGATGTTAATTAAATAAATATTAATTGATCGTTGAATTTATTATATAAAACAGGAGAAATTATATTTGGAGAGTATTATTACTGATGGGTCATTACTGATTAAATGAAAGGAGAATTTAAAAAGGTGTGGAATAATATCATTTGATTGGATTTTACCTTAAGTCTTACAAAATACATAAAAATGTAAAATCGGTAATCGCAGATTTGTAAAGGAAATCTGTAGACCTGAAGTGGTAGATGAACAGGTGGACGAACTAAATCTTAAAACAAGATTAGTCCCAGATTAAATGGTCGGGCCCCATCGCAGCAGGAGCCAAAACCCCTCCATTTAAATCCCACAAATTCCACATCCTCTCACCACCAGGAATTCAGCAAAATTTCTCCCTTAAAAAATAAATAAACAAAATGCAACTCATCCCCTCACCTCATTCATCATCCATGGGAAATAATAAACATAAAATTACTTAAAAAAGCGTTTAATTGTATTAAAAATCAAGTGATGCTACAAGAGTTGCCAATAATTAATTCGATAACTTTCCAAAAATTGCCAGTGTCGGGCAGTGTCGTGTTAGATAATTAATTACATTTGAGTATAATCGACATATTTATCGTTTGATGAGTGAATGATTTTGTAGTAAAGTGTGAGCGTGTATTGTCATTCGATTAATTTTCAATAGAGGCCTGAAACTCAAGCGAATTTGTCTTCACATTAAAAATTATTAAAATCGTAACCGTATAAACAATCTAAAGTTGCGATAATAAAATAGTCAATAAGATGCCGACCAAGCTATCAATTATTCCCTCGTAAATGATGAATCTTATAATTACGGTTTATGGAATGTTATTATCGGCTAAACATTAATATTCCTCTTGAAATATGGCCTGTGGATTTCGTTATCTCTATCATATAATAAAATTTATTTATTAATTTATAAGTAAATTCATTAAGTAATCAATCGCCTGGTGGTTTCAATCTACTTGTACTCTGTGTACTGGAAGTGTTTCTTTTCTTTTCTTTCTTTTTTTTCATTAAAAAAAACTTAACAAATTGCATAATGCGGATATGAGGCGTCAAGCTGCCAAATTCAACGGATAAAATACATATTGTTAATGTACATCGTGGTTGTAAATAAAAGCATTGATCAATCCAGTAATGAAGGGGTTAATGAGGTTTTTCCTCGCATCACCCCTTCTGCGGTAAAAGAAATGATTAAAAAAATGAGAGAAATACTGGTACGTGGGAAAATGTAAATCCCTGAAATAAATGCAACTTTCTCGTGACAAATGGACAATCTTGAATTATAAATCATAACAATCGAGTTATGAGTAATTCGAAAAATATATTTAATCACAAATTGAATACATCTTATTCGTCCTGCAATTTTTTTCTTCACACGAAACATTGAGTTCAAACGACCGAGTGAAACGCAATAATTGATAAAATATTATTTCATCTCAAATGTTTTTTCAATTGAATTTTTCATTAAAAATTTAGCATGTGCTATTTTTTGTTTTATCATCCTAATACTATCTGCATATAAATCTAAACTGCTGTTTTTTTTTTATTCTCTCGTCTCGATATAAAATTTATTCGGCATAGGTATAAATTCTATCTATCGCCTCCGCAACTGTAATAACTTGTGATTACTTGTAGGGGAATTGGAATTATCGATAAAATAATAAAAATATTAAAACATATGCGGATAGTTGGGTGGAAATATGCAGTCTGTGATTGAATTATTAATTCTGAGAGCTTATTTCCTCGGATCTCGGCATCGATGACTTGGATTTTTCCGTTGTCACTGTTATCGTTTGGACCTCTAAGTTGGCTAAATCCGCAGCGCTAATCTGCAAATTAAATAATTAAACATTTATAAATGATTAATTAATCAATTGAAATAGTTAGTCACCATTTGTTACGATGATATGTCCCTACCACCAGTATAATGAAGGAATATCGGTTACTCAAAGCAATTACATGCATTACGAAAAATAATTAACAAATTAATTTATTGTTAAACAGCTCATGGCAAACCTCGACATTGGGCGGTAGTGTAATTGTTGCATGCGTTGTTGTTGTCTCGGTACCACTGCGAATCTCTCGTTCTACTGTCGTGCCTACAAATTATACATTGAAGTAAAAATAATAAAATAAATAAATGTACACAATAATTTGGCAATATACAGTGCAAGGTGAGAAAAAAATCGATTTTTCATTGGAAATATCTCGAGTTCCGTGGAGTGAAATCTCAATCAAATCGCGCCATTTTGAACTTTTCTTCACGATCTTTAAAATGGATTCAAAATTTTTTAAATCGGTTCATTCAATTGAGAGATATAACGATTTGCAATTTGAATTCTCCGTTGCCTGAAATAATCGTAATAATTAGATTTTGAAAAATATTTCAGGAGTTCACTGTTGATTTATAAATGTTAAGGGAATATAATATCACGTTTTAGGACTATAAAATACATAAAACAATCATCTACAACTAAAAAGCTGAATCACGAAAATAAATAAAAACCGAAAAACTCACTATTAACTTCTTGGGATTCACTACTCTGATTGGTTTCAACTTCACCATTAGTGGTGCCATTACTCGAAGTCTGTGATATCACAGTTGTAGTTTTAACAACTACGGATTGATTCTGAGTAGATATCTCCGAAGTGCGAGACGTAACTTCCATCTTGAGACCAGCTAGTCTATTATGAAGATCCTCCGAGCTCGTTGCATTCCTGAAAAGTGAACTGTTACTGCCAACGAGAATGGCAAGTACCACAGAAGAAAAAAAAAAACCAAACGATGAATAAATGAAAAATAAACATATGAACAATAAAAAAAACACTCCAAACAAATTAATATGTACAACAGATTAATAATAAATCTTACAGGAGATGATCCTTAACGCTGTCGATAGTGATATCACCGATGGAATTAATATCCTGTCGATCCTCATCTCCGTTGATATCATTGGTACTCGCTGCTGGCCTCAATGATGGCTCTTTAGAGTCATTATCACCAGCTAAAAGGGACAATTTTACACAAACAAGCATAGCAACAAGATGCAGACGAATTTACAGTAGGTAGAGGATGTAAAACGATAGACGAATGATTTTAAAATAATTACGATAAGACATTGTGAGGATCTCCAATAAAATTTTAATAAACCCCCAAGGATTTCCGAGACTTTGTATTTATTCAGAAATATTCCAAAGATCAGAGTGAAATAAATGAAATCTGAATGAAGATAGAGGAATTTTAATAGTCTGGATACCCTCACTATATCTTCTTGAAAAAAATAGAGATAACTCACTGGATCCAACGATGCCATTTTCGGTGATGCCCCTGGCAGCCCCAGGTGTCTCAATCTCCTTTTCCCCAGCCCCTTCGACGATCCCCTCTTGCTCGCCCTCACCCTCACCCTCTTTAATGGATTGCACAGAGGTGACAGTTGTCTCTGGAGTTGATCTCGCATTGGGAGGCAAATTTAAGGCACAATGCGCTTTCGTAACATTATTAACAGACAGTGAAATGCGTTCCAGCTCCGAGCTAGAGTGAAGATAGAGAGCTTCACCACCTCTGGTAAAAGTTAATGATGATATACCATTGATGTCCTCGCGTTTAATAGCAGCAGCATTGAGCTGTCTTCTCAATTCAGGTATACTCAGTATCAAGCAATCACCAAGATTAGTCAAACAGAGTAAACATGTTTCCTCGTGAATGCCAGCTGGCTCAACGGGGCACGTAAATTTAGCAAAACCTGTTTTACGTACACGCGATCCCTCATGGGCAGTGAGTTTGTACTTGCAGAATGGCTTCAACGATGGCAGATTGAATATCTTGAACTGCTCTTCACTTGCTATAACAACACGATGGGGTGCAGTCATGTCAGGTCCAGGTGTCACCCCTTTTTCAGCTTCAAATGGCTCTGGGAGAGGTACACTCGAGCCATCGAGAATGGTAATGGCAATCACTGGAGCCCGATGTTTCAGTTGTATTTCTTTTCCAAGAGTGCAATTGACGTCCTCTTCAGTTCGTCTGACACCAGCTGGAATGGCCAGTGTAAATACATAAACAGTTCCATTGTTGGTTCCAGCCCAGAGTGTTGGGGTTGTATTCTGCATGCTGACGATGAAGCTCCTGGCGAAGTAGAGACTCCTCACCATTGATCCGAGGGAATCATCAGCAGGACGAGCCTCGATCTGTCTCTCCACGGGTCGGATATCAACTGCTCCTTCACCACCGATTCCTCCAGGTGACGGAGGCTCGGGTTTTTTCTTCTCCGGTAGAGGATTACCTGATGGACTGGCTGTCGTTGCTCTGCGCTGAGATCTTCCCTTTCTCAATCTTCTGAATGACTCCCTCAAGGATTTTTTAAAGGACTTACGTCTCGATATTGGTGTGTCCCCTGATCCTGACAGATCATTTGGATTTAACGTGCATTTAACACTCACCGATTTATTCCTGATGTAATCAAAAACAGCTAGACCATGAGCTGTACCAGCTGCCATCAGTCCCCATTCACTGTGAATTGTCAAGGCTGTAACAGCTGCTGGTGGATAAAGTTGCACTAGATTCTGAGGCTGAAAACCAGTGGAGAATGAGATCTCAGCTGTTCTCACTGGTAGACTGTCGTGCCCCTTCCAAGCAAATCCATCTCGATCATTAACGATATTCATGGTGACAGCTTTCATCTGCTTCTGGATAACCTCAGAGACGATTTTAGCAACAATAATGTGACCAGCAGTGCCAGCTACAATCAATGTCGATGACAGGGGACAGAGGAGAATCTTCTTGACAGCTAGACGTGGATCATCGGAATACGGATCAAATGTACCAATTTTTCGAAATGGTGGCCACTCCTCCTCGTCCTCGTCCGGCGACTGCTCGAGGGCATCCAGATGTTCACCAGTGAACAGTAGAGATGAACTGTACTTGTAGAGAGGTGTCAGGGTAACACCTGAGGCATCCCAGAAGCGAATGGTCCCATCCTCGTGACCTGTCAGCAAGAAATCTCTTCGGTTCTCCGTTAATTTCTTATTGCCCTTCTGACAGAGAAGAACTCCACCATCAATTGGCCAATCCTTGTTCGAGTACAGGTGCTCTGTTTGAATTTTTCCTGATGTTACGATTGAACTCCAGAGATCTTCGGGTACGTTGGGCACGTGTTGAGAGCATGTGACAGCACTCGCGTGGAGAGACACCAGGTAGGGAAGTGCCATCATCTTCCAGTCGGGATCTGTTAGGTCAATCGCCACTATTTCCTCCTCAGCTAGGATTATCAGGGCTTCTGGCCCTGGCACGTGCTTCAGGGGCTCTTTATCATCGTCTGTTGTGTCGAGCTCCACGTGGGGTTTAGACGTCACCACGAAGAAATCTATCACTTTTGATGTCAAATCGAACACCACGTGCTTTGATTTTGTCATTGCTGTTATTGTGTGACGATCGCCGTAGCTTGAACGTGGCATACCACCGGAAAAGAGGATCATCTCGTCGTCACTGCAATTTCAGGTGGAAATTTGATATTTTTTTTGGGGAATTTTTCATTGAAATAACAGGAAATTCAGGGGAATAACTGCAATATTCATTCTTACAAAATTTCGATAATTATTTGATTAACTAATTGATTAATTTTGTTCATTGATTTAATTTATTATTGTGTGTAGAAAATTTATTTAATGAAAGAAAGGTTTGGTGAAATGATGGAAATGATGGAATTGATGGAAATAATGGAAATGATGGAAATGATGGAAATGATGGAAATGATGGAAATGACACTAGTAATTGTCAAAAAAAATGTGAAAAAACTGATATTTGAAAATAAAATAGAATTACTCACTCGGGCAAACCGTAAACAAATATTTTCGATATAGCCTTGCACGGAAATGGTCCATAAACAGTTGTTGGCTCAGGTGTTGCGTCATTACCAGGACTCCAAAACATATAAGAGCCATCATTGTGCGACGATACAAATCTATCCTCGGATATCCAGTGAACCGATTCCAATTGTTGTGTAGAAACAAATGTCTGGGCACGGGAAAACAAACCCATCAACTGCCGACACAGACGTTCGTCCAAAGGGAAAGAAACAACAAAAGACACAACAACACAGTCAGTCAATTTAAATTCCCAACTCCAGACCCTTTATCTGATAGCATTATGTCACATATTCACAAAGCTACTGACGTACAATTACAATAGATCATTCATACGACATCACGATTACCAATTATTACCGTAAATCTAGGATTTTTCACTCACCTGTTGAGCACCAGGTGTTGCTTTATTCCAGAGGACCATTAGACCACGATTGTAACCAATGAGAATGCTGTCAGGATGTCCAGGCTGTTCTGATATCGCCTCAACTGCTCCAGGATTCTTCTTGTAGTCCTCAGGAACACTAAACACCAATAACAATAAATAAATCATCATTTTACCCATATATCTCAGATTAATTGGAATAAAATTCAATGATAAATTCACTACTGACTTCTGCATGACGACATCCTGATAGATGATATTATCAGACATCTCGAAGCTCTTCAAGTTCAGCAAGTAAATATTTCCCCCTTCTGTACCCAGTAGCAGATGCTCTCCAGTTGATTCCAGACACATTGCTGATATTTTCTTCAATTTACCCTCAAGTGACAATGACTTGGTCTCCACCACTGAATTCTCGTTAATTTCCCACAAGTGGAGGGAATTATCATCGCACAACGACACGAGACGTCCCTGAAAAATCATCAATACCATCAGATCAATTCACCACCTGTTTCCATTACTCGCTGTTCCATTTTTTCAATGTGTTCCTGGGTAAATGGATTACAACATCTAGTCATCACAAGATATCTTAATTACGTCTACTTGTTATGCAACCGACACTTCAGTGGTTTCTCACAGTTGTGCATAGGAATTTCAAATAAAAAATTTAATAATTGAAGAAATCATTCTCGAATATCGATAATCTTTTCTGATTCATCATTATTTGTTAATTAATCCCCAGGGGTAATATTCGTAACGGTAAATTTTTTTTAGATCGTTTTTAATGGATAATGGATTATTGTTTAGATTTTATTTTGCAAATGCTAGAGCAGAATCTCTGGGCAGTGCGTGCTGACCGGACATTTACCGTTACACAGGGAACAAAAGAAGTGTCATGACGTTACACTATGGCGTGTCCATCACAATAATCCCTTCTTACACAACGCAACTAATTTTTTTTATTGCTTTAGTAAATAAAAAAATTAATTGGACTATCTCCGCGGGAAATTCAGGGAAGAATCCATTGAGTTCCGAGTGATATCAGAGCATCGAGAAAGATTTATTTAGGTTTTAAAGAGAATTCGTTAATTTATTTTCCGGAGTAACAGTAATTGCTTTAATTATTGTTTACTCTGTGGAGTGTCTATTAATTTTTGTTTTTTGGGTGTAAATTGGAGGATTTAAATTGCTGTTGGTTTGAATTAAGGAAATTACGTAAAATATCGATGCTATTTCATTCCCTGTTGTAATTTGAATCTCTCGTACTTCATTGTTCCCAGAAAGTAATGATTACACAACAATTACCTCGTTCGGTAGTGCAATGATTCTGGTAACAGCATTCTCACCGCTCTCAGTTGAGTGTTGACCGTAAAATTCAACGCCAGGCCGTCCAAAACTATTGTATCGATGAAAAAATGGGTTAAGGACTGATAAATTCAACTGTGACGAATCAGCGGAAATAAAATCGGTGGAAATGCGAAACGTATTCTGTTACCGGTTTCCGAACACACCTCTACTCCCAGAGGGTGGGATTAAAATAAATAAAAGAGAAATACTTCGAAACCAAGAGAGATAGCGTTATTCATGTCAGAAGCGTTTTTGTAGCTCGCAAATAGTTCTGCAAAAAAGGATCTCGCAAGAATTCCATTATCTTTCTTAGTTTTCGAGATATCCGCGAAATTAAGAAATTAAAAAAAGGGTAATTCATTCCTGTTTATCCCCAGTTTTTCGCAAATATCTTCTGCATGAAGGGAGATATGATAATCCATGACAAGACCTTTTTTCTCGACCTAACTAAGATCTACGAAAAAGGTCCTCACGTGGATCACGCTATCTCGCTTAATTCCGAAGATATTCCCGTAAAACTGACCAACCGATGTACTCAATCGACTTTCCCCCACAATTTCTTTTAAAAAACGAGTTTAAATGACCAGAAAAATTCCCCAAAACCATATCCAATAAAATAATAATCATGATAAAAAGGATACACTTTGATGGCACCAGAGGCAGTGCCGATGATCATGAGCCGGAGACTGGCATCCCACGCCAGAGCCGTCGGTTTGTTGGGGAATCCATGCTGAACAGTCTGCAAAAGAATGCGAACATAAAAAATTAAATCTGCAACACCAAAAATCCATGAACAATAATTCCACATTGACCCAAATAAATGGCACGTGCCCAACCCATCAAAAATGATAAACATTATTTTTTCCATCCTTCCAATCCATATGCATTGTAACGTGTATATATATATATACATATATACATATATACACAAGAAAGTATAGAGTAAATTGAGGAGTCGGGCGTTGCCTCCTATTCCAATCCCCTCGTAATTTAATTTCTCCATTACCGTGCAATTAAAAAAATATGTGAAATGACAGAAAAATGTGTAATTACAAGTTTCAGTAATTGCCGTCTACAATTGGTGGGACAGATATAATATTTAGACGTGGGGATTGCGTGCAGGAAACTCTCACCGATAGTTTATCCGATTGTTTACACAGGACTTTTTTTTTAACGAACTGATAAGATACGAATCTTTGTCTATTTGCGCTATTTCTGTACGAAAAACGAGAGATAGTAACGATGAGTCAATGTTTCTCGAGAATTTAATTGAACGGATCAATCAATTGGTTATCGGTACTGGAGATTGAGAGGGAATTGATCACCTCTTTATTTTTAGATTGTCCATTCGCTGGGGAACTCATCATACGATTTCTAGAAATATTTATTTTGAAAGGAAAAAATTCAAATATTCGTCGACTTCATTTTGATTTACTTATTTATTTATATAATTGTCGAGTCGTTAATTTAATGGGAGGGAGTGAGATAATGATAGAGGGGAATTATGATATTTTTTATTATTTAGAATTTATTTTCAAGGCAGTGGCTTGAGCTGGGGAATGAGAGGTGATTTATTCGAGTGGTGGGCACTTGATCCCCGAATAGAAAATCAAATTAGAGAGGGAATGAGAAAAAAGGGAAAAGGAATAAATAATCGAGTGCATCAGCCCCAATCGGTCAACTCCAACCATTTTAAAATAGAAAATCTCTGGAAAATGTTACTGCAGTCGGACTAATTAATTTGAGGAAAATCTCGTAAATTCTGGAATGAATCATGACACATTAACACTCTGTGTACACTGGAATGCGATAAAATCTCGGAACTAAATCCACGGCTAAACCACCGACATGCTTATAGGTTATTATCCCCAACCACTCAGGACATAAAATTCCTCAGCATAATTCACTTAAAAAATTCCAGAATCGAGTTGTTCAGAACAGAGTAAAACGATCATTCAGAGATCTCCAATATCTCAAGAGGCCACGATGGGATTTCAATAAATCCACCTCCATTTTCAAGTTAGAAAAAAAATCTACAAAATCACATAAAAACCATTAAATTTCACTCTGCCAATCCCAAGAAATCCCCCATTGAACAAATCAAATTAAATCAAGCAATTGAGTTAAATCAATTTTTTTGTTCACCTCCTCAATAATTACTCAATACTCAATAAATAATTGAAAAAGAGTAATTACATGCGTCATGCAGTGATAAAATCCAATAAATACCTTTCTGAAGGCGAATAAATCCTTCAGGAGCTTCTGCCTCTCGGCTGTGGGTTGCTGGCTCTTTCCCCGGATGAATTTCAACATCTCGATTATTAATCCGCTTCTTTTATATATAAAAAACAACACTTGTTGCTCCACTTCCTGGGGTGTTACGTTATTTATTAAAAAATGCCTGACGGAATTGACTATCACCGGCACAATATTTCACACTGCATTGATATCAAACACTTCAGGCGTGTGTTTTCACTTTGAATTTCTGGTTTTCTTTTTTTTTTTAATATTACTCTCTGGAGTGGATGGGAGAATAGATGCTGTTGGAGTAATTGTAAATCACTGTGAGGTACTTTTGCATGGATCAAACAATTACTCGATTATTTCTGTCCTTTTGGGGACGTATACCTTGCATTATCGTTTACGATCACTTCACTTTCATGTGTCACGGGAAAAAATGCTTTTGACCTCCTCTATTCGGACTATAATCGCGTGCCTTTCGACTCTATATTGAGTGGATTTGTTATATTTGTAATGTCGTTGGGCATCACTGGCATTTCAGCCGCCATTCGTTCGGGTTTTTTTTTTGTCGGAATTGCCCGTTGTGGCGCCACTTTACGAATATTTATCATGTCCACCAATGGGAGGCCAGAGACGTCGGGTCACTCCGGAGAACCGAATGGGAAGCGGTCGGCAAGTCTCGGCGCTAGTCGCGCACACTCGTGCACACTCGCGCACGGGCGTTGGTGCGCGCCAATTTTTGAATCCTTGCGCGGTGAGTTTTTAGCGCGGACTTTTCAATTCGCGGGAATCGCTAATGGGGATTTATGGAAATTATTGGTTTTTAATTAGTTTGTTTGATTGCTGATGGGAGATGATTTTTCGCACAGATAATTTTTTTTTTTTCATGATTAAATAATTGGGGAATGGCGGATAATTGCCTGGATTGGTAATTAGAGGAGTACGAGTTAATTAAAAGTGAAAGGTAATTAATAATTATTAATAATTATTTATTTATTCAATTTAATTGATTGATAAAATTCATTATGGAGATATTTTCAATTTTAATGGAACAACAATTCCACTGACTTTCCACAAAACATTGAATTTTAAATAAAAATCCTTTAATTAATTTCCAAAAAAAAAATAAAAACTCGATAAACCATTCTTTAAAATTGAAACAGAACTATTTCTCTAAACAATTAGCTGAGATGTTTGAGATCTAGTTCTGACGTTTCACAAAAAATTAAATTTTCGATAAAAATGAGAATAAATTTTAAATAAATTAAAAAAATAATGAAAACTCACCAATTCACGACAGAACCCCAGCAACTCCTCAAAACAATTCGCTGAGAAGTCCAAGCTCTAGTCCTTATCGTGTAGTTTTACATTTCCAGTTTCTGGAGGGGTGTAATATCCACAATTACGCAACACAATTCGCGAGTCTAGAATCATATGAATAAAAAATTGTAGTGCATATAAAATTGCGTTGTAAAAATTAAAATAAAAAAAAATATTATCCACTATTGAGAATTATTTTAAAGACAGTTAATAAATAATTGACTTCTATGGGTCACTGGGGCTTACACACATGCAGAATTTACGGTAATTATACAATACCATTGGAGGAACGTAATCCAAAGAAAGTTGTGTGCGTTCGTAGGTGTATGCCACGGTGGTTTGGAGCGACTGTTCTTGGCACAGTTTCCGACCATCTCCTATTGCAAACGGATTGTCCGGGTACCATCTCACTAAATAGTTCATCAAAATTTTATAATTGCAATTAAAAAACAAGTGCCGTGTGATTTTTTAAACTAACTCCTACAGGATTTATCATGACAATCCAAGACAAGTGAGTTTCATTATTTATTCACAAGACAAACGATAAATATAATTGTTATATAATATAATTATGAATTGTAAACAATAAATTGTTGATTGAAAAATTTTTATTTCAAGAATTTTTCGCGGTTTTCGGTGAATCCAAAGAAATTCGATTTTTTCTCGTTTTTTTAAAACTCGTGGGAGAAATTTCAATTCAATTTAAATTTAAATTTATCAATGAGAATTTGTGATGATTTATTATTCATTTGTTTATGGTTGTTGTTAGTATTGTTGGTGTTGTTTTAATTTTGGATTTAATGCGAATTTTTCATTCGCTCTGATTTTTTTGATCTGATGAATTCTTCTGCAGCGCATATGTTCATCGCTTTATTTGTGGGATTAGTTCATAATTTATTCAGTGACTCAATGATGCATGTTAACATTGACTTACTGAATTAAAAATGACGGGTTTTGTTGAAATTATATTTATAAATATAATGAGTCAATCTGGGGAAAGAGTGAAAATAATTTTATCGAGAAATTCTTTCCGAAAATTTTTTGATATTTTCACGGAATCTTACGCAGTACCGATACAAATAGATTTATAAATAAATAATATAACAATAATGGGTAATTGCCCTGTTAAGTCCTTCTAATTACTTTTCTCGTGGTAATTAATTATTTTTTCGTAATTATCATCAAGAAAATTTTATTTCACACCCTTTTTTTTTTAATCCCTCAATTTTTCCCAAATATCTTTAAAACTAATAGAGATACCGAAATTTTCGTAATAACCCTTTTTGTAGTTCTCATTTACCTCCATAAAAAAGGTATTATTAAAAAATTAATTATCTCCATTACTTTCGACGATATCTCCCAAAAACCAACGTGCGCAATTTACCAGAAAATGAAATAGCTTTTCGTTGACTCTTTCGAGAATATCTCCTAAACAAATAGAATTATCGAAATTGTTGTAATAATCTTTTTTATAGTTTTCAATGAGCCGAATAAAAAAGGTCTTAACAGAAATTTCATTATCTCCGTTGGTTTCGGGGATATCCACGAATTAGTTACAGTGTGTGGAATTCAATTCATTAACAGGCACTAATGAACGACAATTTGCATTAATTTAGATTTACAAATTCAGTAAAAAAAGGTGAGTTGATGGCAGTCAGTGGTTGATGACGCATGTTACTTTTTTTAAGCGAGGTAAACGAGAAAGAGATGCTGGGAGTGATCAAATGAGAGGAGGAGAAAGGCAGAATGAAAACAACATTTACTTACCACTACACTATTAGAGAAAAATTGTATCCGTATGTTTCCTTTTGAGGAGCGATTCAGTTTACGGAATAATTCCTGTAGACCTCGGACTGGGTCTTGGGGCCTCATGGTCATTATGTTTGTGGCACACAGTTCTCGATTTTCCTCGGAAACTTCTCTCGATCCGAGTAAATCCCGTTATTTCCATGAAAAAAATATTAAATAAATAAATTAATTACACCAACACATCTTCCAAGCCCTCCCTCTCATCAATACCCCACGATTCCCCGGGATTTATCGGCAAATCCCAATAAAAATGGCAATTCACTGATAAAATCGTAATTCGATCAAAGTTCGACTGACACTGCGCAGTTTTCATTGAATATCTCGGAAACCAGGGGAGATAACGATATTTTTGTTATTACCTTATTTATGGAGAATGATGAGGGCTACAAAAAAGGTATCTATGAAAATTTCACTGTTTTCCTTCAGTTTTGAGATATTTCGGGAAAACTGAAGAAGTGGAAGTCGTGGGACGAACCGATTTCGGGGATCGGTTGTCAATTACTCAGAGATCGTTTGAGAGATCAGATAAATAAAAAATTGAGACAATTGAAAAATTATTCTCGAAGATCATGGTCTCCTTTGATAATTTCTCCTGTCAAGAATGGAGGTCATCAATGCTATCGATAACGGGGGCGGTCGCCCTTCCAGCCGATCTAAAAATAGAGATTGTTGTCTCAATCACTCAGAATCTCCCCAGAGTCATAATAAACAATTCAATGATTCCACTGTATGACCTGATAACTGACACTCGAAAAAATGCTATTCTAATTTACCACTCGCCTATAAATTTTCCAATCGATTTTTCCTTTCGATTTTTTCCATGAATCGTAAAAAATCGGTAGTAGCTCCTGTCTCTCACTAAATTCCAACATTTGTTTATTGAATAGAATGGGAAAAGAGCAAGGTCAGCAACTCTGGTGTATACATTAGCGAGCGCCGGAATTACCGGAGAATTCGAAAATAACCGCACGAGTTTGTCAATGACCCATATATCAATTTCTATTTTCAAATTTTCGGTATTCTCAGCAGAATTTGTGAATCATAACACCAAAATCCGATTATCCACTAATAAATGAGTCTCAAATCCCCCCAATAAATTTAAACAACAATAAACAACAATTTATTATTATAAAAAAATCGACGAAATAAAATTTCGAAAGACAAATCGAAAGCCATTGTTTATTTCAAATAATCAATATATTAATTAAAATTTTAATATTGATACATAAACTTAAGATATTAAGACAATTGTTTAAATAAATTATGCAACATTTTTGTTTATGATCTCGAATTTTATCATTTTCTACCCCCGAATTTTCAGAACTGAATTATCAAATTTTTATTCAATCAGAACGCAATAATTTATTTATTGTTTATTGAGGCATACATTATTATAACAATTTCTTTTTTTATTCAGAGTGAGAGTGAACAGCTGTTGCTGCCGATGGAGTTTGAGATTCGGGACATTATTCACTGGATTTCTCGGCATTGTACGTAACCAATTAATTAATTAATTAATTATTAACGAATTAATCCAAAAAATGGATTTTTACACGAATTATTATTTTTTTTTTTCCTCCAAAAGAAATTCGTACGTCAATTATAATTACAATTATAATTCGATACTATTATTTATGTAATAAATAAATAAATAATAATATTGAAATAATATTAATATTAATATAACAATTGAGATAATTACAAAAGCGAATAATCTCTCTGTTTCTATCTCAGCGGCTGAATCTGAATATTTGAATTCCGATTCTTATATATCTATCGTTGAAAAATAAACACCCCAAAAAAAAAATAAAAATAAAAATAAACACCCAAAAAATAAAATAAAAATAAAAATAAACACCCACAAAAAAAAAATAAAAATAAGCACCCCAAAAGTAACAGTAGGTTCATCTCTACTAATTTAAATAAATATAAATAATACAATATCAAATATAATAAATGTATTAAATATATGATTATTTTTTAACAGATATTATCGATAGCAACAATTCTCCTGATCCTTCTAGCGGATATGGAAATAAAAATGGTGATAATTGACATCTTCAGTAAAACCGTCACTCGAATTATTGTTATAATAAATCTCTTCATGACGATTTTTATCAGTTCGTTGTTAATTTACGGCGCGTGGAAGGTAGGTGGATTAATTATTCGATTAACAGATTTCTTATGATTAATGTGAATAATTATTATAATTACGTTTGATCCACAGAAAAAAAGATTTCTGATGCTTCCATGGATCGTACTGGGACTCATGATAGCGATTGGATTATTAATTACTATTTTTTACACTGCGATAAGTCATATGATTAATATCAGTATATGGGGAGGTGTACTGTGGCTGGTGATTGGTCTTATTGTTTTTGGTGAGAACTTTTCGTTGTAAAATTGATTTATTATTTATAATCATCGATGAAATTCTAGTGAAATTTATTTGTATTAATTCTAAAAATTTTTTCAAGAGTTAATTTATTTGTTAATTCTCGATGTTAATATTATTAATATCAAGAATTATTTATTTAATATTGTTAATATATTTAGTTATTTCTATTTATTTTTTCCGGAATTTCTAATTTTTATAGAAGTCCTCAATTGAATTTTCAATTTTCTGTTTTCATTAAATTAATTAATCAAAGAAAAATCGCTAAACAACAAAAAACAATGAAAATTAATAGATATTTATATTTTCATTGATTTGAATCGAAGATATCTAAGAATAAATCGGAAAGATTAAATAAAATTCAATAGAATTGATTAAAAAAATCGAAAATCCGCGCGAAATCTCCGGAATTTTTCCAATTTCAAAGATTAATTTATAATTTATAATTTATAACTTTTCAGTTATCTACGTCTACTTGTGGGTGGTAGTCCTCAGTTATCATCGACAACTGAAGGATGACAAGTTGAAAGGAAAAATAGATCCTTACGGACGCCCATACAATTACAGTCGTGCGTAAAATGCGCAATTAAAAATTCATGATCTCATGACAAAAATCGAGAGATTGCACTCGCATCAATCCACACGCCATTATTTATTATTTATTTTCTATTTATCAATGCGTAAATGTTAACCGTGTAATGACTTGTATGAAGAGAGTATAGATAAATAATAACAACAACAACAACAATAATAATAATTCTGTAATAATTCCAATAATCAATTTTTCTAATTGCACTTGCAATTGATTAATAGTCCATTATCCTTTGGTCTGGATTGAAAAAAAAAATCCATAAAACGAGATTTAAAAACAATCCAGAGAAAATAATGAAAATAATATAATTATTTATTGATTATAACAATTATTTCAATAGATTTGTCAATTAATTATTTAATCGCGACAGGTTTTTAGGGAATCTCTCCAAAAAAAATTGCTAATAAAATAAAAGTCCCGGAGATTCTTATAAATATTTGTTTACCCGTTATTTGTTGATATAAAATTGACTATTTTCAATGCACTCTCTGAGCAATAAACTCAAAGCAGCAGCAGCTACTCCACACGTGTGATTGTCGCACCCAAAATCCATGGGATTCGATGATCTTTTAGAGATATTGCTCATGCGATGATTCCTCCGAAATCTGTGACCCAAAAGTAACAATAAAACATAATTATTTATTTTTCAATAAAAGTAATGAGGCAATTATGACTATTTTTTTTAATTACCCGCTAGCTGAGAAACACCCGAGGGAATTCGGTTGATTCAGGAGAAAATTTTTGTAACGACTCGTGACGAATTCTGAATAGCCCTCCATCCCACAGAGAAATACTGGAATAATAATAATTAATGGTTATTAATAATGATTAATGATTAATTATGATGATTCATTGATAATTGTTTATTTAATTTATCGTGGGTGGAACGAGTTGCTGAAAAATTTGTACTTTGCTCGATTGCGAGGTCCACTCCGACTCCAGGAAAACCCGAGGCCATCAACTCCTGGAGATCTTGATGAATGATTCCACAGAGATCTTCGATTAATTGTCTAGAATCCATCGACGGATTTTTCTCACACCTCAACTGTAATAAAAGACTTGATTTTCTAGAAATTAGGGACTGGGGTAATCAAATAATTAATTATTATCGAGAAAATTAAATTTGAATTAAATTTAAAAAATGACCTCCGGGCCGGGGCCCGATTTGGGGCCTTGGGGAGATGAAAGTACTTTTTAAAATTTAATTAATCAATTAATCAATTATGTGTCTCGTAGAAGACTATTTAAATTTCGAATTAAAATAATAAATACCGGAAAGTAAATATAAATAAATTGATCCATAAATGTTTATAACTTCCCACAAAATGCAGATATTTATTATATTAAAAAATCATAGAAGAAGTTCCTATTCTAAAAAGGACACGCTTGACACAATCGATACAATCGATACAATCGATTATCTCGAAAATCTCGAAATCGTAAGGCCACGATTCCTTATTGGTCAACCTAAAGTGGCGGGAGATTACAAAATCGTAACTCACCAGCGCTACAAATTAAAAAAAAAAATTTTAAACTCACAGCATTCGCCACTTGACTAATTAACAAACGATGTGTCATGGCATATCCCCTGGAGCGATCGTTCCTGGTAATTATCTCGAGACATTCCTCTGATAATCGACAGGATTTACCCGTAAGAAATTGATTAATAATAATCAACAGGCAGTGGTCGCTCTGTTGTTCATCAGGAGTTCCCGCATGCGTCAGATCTCCAACAGAGCGTCGATCGGGTGCCGATTTCACCAGCGATGAATGATTTTTCCAAGATATCGGTCGAATCCACAAATCGACTCTAGTCAGGACTGGATGAAGTTCGAGGGGACAGAATCAACGAGAATAAAAGAAAGAAATATTTCCTGTCCGGGGAACATTTATAATTAATTTAGATTAATTACGAACCTTCTGAAAATCGGCGATCGGTATCGGTTTTCAAATTTTCCCGGACAAATTTACGGGATTCCCTCGCCAACTCACGAATTTCAATTATCGAATTCAGATGTTTATCGTTTAAATATTTTCTATCGTCTGACCTCAGGATGGCGGCGATATTCGCTGTGAATAAATCGTTATTTATAAATAATTAAAGTTATTAACAAATTAAATATTCACCTTCGGCTAGAGCCAATCCAAAAGCCGCGTCGATGTTCAATTGATTTTTCCTGGTGTTCATGAATTCCACGTCGTTATACAGCGTAAACAAAAGCCTTCCTAAACATTAATAAATAAATTAAACAAATTAAAAACCTTAACTTAAAGTTAAAACAACAATTTAGAAGATCACGAATTAATTCTTCAGATTATTCCCCAAAAATCGCTGAATGATTCGCGCAATCCGCGAAATCGAAATCGTTTCCATCAATTAATAATAACAATTATAATAACAATTAAAGATGTCAACATAAAACACTAAAAACCATTACCAAATGTGGAATTGTCACATTGCGATGGGGTAATCCCGTCTGTCCAGCCCCATCCACATGTCATGAATAATAAAAAATAAAATTTATTGCGAAAAATCATATTTTTAATTTTTTTTTAACAATTAACAGTAAATTGCAATAAATTTTCGATTGAAACGGAAAAATCGGAAGGTGTGAACTCGTCCCTGACGCTCTAGCAAATGGGGACATTGTAATTCCGTCGGGGGTTTATATAGCTCTTGAGTATTGACTTCCGATTTTATTTAAACGTTTGTACTAATATTAAGTGTGGGAAAAAGTTTTAATGGAATTGGAGGGAGTTTCAAATGTCGAGACTAACTCTGAATTATTGGCCGCGTGTCACTCGAGCCGTTGGAATGACAATTTATCGATTTAATTTTATCGAAGTGTCAAGTTGTCAGGGAGAAATGAGAATCGAAATGTCATGAATTTTATATTTAATCCAAGGCATTTCCCGCTAAATTTATTCAAAAAGTAATTAATTAATCACTACGAAAAAAATTATTTTAATTTTTTTTCTGAGTGCAATTTGAATTTTCCGACTTCCCCATTTTTTTTTAATTTTCTAATAGTGCAAAATAATTCAAAAAATCAGTTTTTTGTAAATAAAATATAATTCAACTTTAATAATTTTTTGAGAAATGAAAGTTGAAGATTTAATTGAAAATTCGGAAAACAGATTTCTGAGTTTACAGACTGAAAAGGAGAAACGAAGAGAAATAATTCATTATAAAATTCAAATTAATAAAAAACAATTACTTTAATACACCCAATGAGTAATGAGTCATTCCGAATAACAAATTACAAATAAAAAAAAATAGACATTCACTAAATAATTAAAGTACAGTGTAATGTAAAATATGTAAAATGGGAATTAACTGTTTCCTTTCCACCGATTGATATCTATTTCCCGGAGTACAAATCAATAAGTCGATCCGCCTCCCGCCATCCGGAAGCTATCGCACCATGAACATTTGAAAAATGTCTGGGATCAGTGGCTTCCCCAGCAAACTGAACAACCGGAATTCCTCTCCTCATTACCGGTGCACCAAGACGACGCGGTCCCTCTCCAATAGATTGCATCGTCTGATAACTATAAGTCCCCCGAAAATTCGGATTAGTATTCCAAAAAGATCTGACTATTCTCGTCGGCTCAGTGACATTGAATCGTTTTCCAAAAAATTTCTGCAAAAATTCCAGAATATCACGCCTGAGTTGTTCATCGGGGACAAGTTCCATCTGTTCAGCGTAGGGTCCACTCATCCATAGCAAATACAATTTCGGTTTGTACTCGACTATATTATCATCTATGATCCCCAGCATCCATTTTTTTTCAGGCTGAAAACAGTGAGTAATCGATTTATATTGATACGCGTTGTAATAATAAAAATTGTGATTAAAAATTGTTAATTTCAATGAATTCAACATTCAAATTTGCCGCCTCAGACGACTGAACCAATGAGAAATAAGCGTGGCATACTTTCGAGATATCGATAATCTCGATGTTTGTCCTTTTCAGAATAGGATGTAAAATCGGTTTTTTAGAATTGAGAAAAATGTTGCCCCCTCCCCCCTCCTTCCAGAAATTTGATAAACATTTAAAATTAAATTTTAAAGAATCAGTTCTTTCCGGAAGTTTAGAGTTGAAAGAATGATAGAATCCGACTTTGCCCCAACTCTAAACGAACTCTCAACTTTCTCTGAACTGCTGGAAATATTTGCGATTAACAACTGGAACTTTCACAAGAAATTTTCAATTTTTCCTCGTCTTTTCCGTTTTTTTGTCTACATATGGATCAATATGATAATAAATTCCCTTGAAAGCTTCTCTCTTCAATTATTAAACTTCCATTCAATAAATAAATTCTCAAATTACTGATTCATCTCTGACCTTTGGTTATCGGTTTATTTACCGATTGGGTAAATACTTTGGGTATCAACACTCACAGTCTTCTCGATTTCCTCTCGATCTTCCTTCGTCCAGAAGAAGGACGTGAGGGTGTAATCCCTAGGTTTCCACCATGGATTTTCATAATAAAGAAGGATTTTCGCATTGACCCCCATACCGATCTGTTCAATAGCCTTTCTATTCCCCTCTGGTAAAGGTGGATCGAAAATGGTGGAGTGATCGGCCTTGAGAACTCCAAGTGACCCAGTGAAAATAACATGATCGGCAGAGTATTCGCTTGCATCGGTAGTGGCTACTTTGACCGATCCCTCATCAGCATAAATTACCCTCGACACTTTCTTATTGAGAAAGATATTATTCAAGACAGGCAGCTCTTCTTCAGGATTCGGCAATCTTTTCTGAATAATCAAAACGATTAATTGTTACAGGAAAAATCGGCGTTTGTCCTGTACTCACGATCAAGATATCGAAGACTGTACTGTAAGCCTTTTCCTTCCAATTGATCTCGTCGAAGCCCGGACACGCCGGAGAATCTCTAGGTCCAAATACCGATACTTTGTACCAGTCATCCGCACCTTCAGCTGACATCATCGTCAATTGAACATTCTCCATAAGAGATTGACGCAGATCATTACCGATTTCTGAATGGTTGCCAAACCAATCAGTCAGCCTTGAATCAGTAAATTCAGTCTGAAAACTCAATTGCATCTTGATAAATCCGCCATTTGCTTTCTGCGTTACCTCAGCTCCACGTATTCTCCAAAGGATCCAGTCCTCAGATCTTCAAGTCTGCTGTAATTATGCGTAATTAAATCGAGATAATCAAACAAACTTTGGGTCAAGTCTTCGGGTAATGAACTCCCTGAGGATCCGTAAAGCTTCGGTATGAAGGGCGGGTCTTCAGGCTGTCCTGGACCACGAGACGTCGAGAGAAGACCCAAAGGCCAGGCCATGTCGTAGACGATATTTCCGACGTTTCCATGGACCCATTGAGCTCCAAGATCGGCCCAATATTCACCTAGAAATTCAACTCGGAACTCAAATTTGAAGGAATCAAAAAAGAAAGCGGTTGAAAATTGCATTCTAGGGACATTTAGGTGAGATAAGATTTAGATTTAAATTGATAATCAGATTTACCGATCTTCGTGGAGTAGATCCTCCCGCCGTATCTGTTCTCAGCTTCCAGAATAATGACATCATCAATATTATTCTGAATGAGTCTAGAGGCAGCAGCAATACCGGCTGGACCAGCGCCAATGATGATCACCTTCGGATTACGACGGATTAAAAAAGTATCTCCGATGGAAAGAAGAAAGAGCAACACGAGACACTTCATCGTTGATTAGTCCGTCGATGATAACTGTTACTCAACAAATTAAATTGATAAACATTCAGTAGTTCAAAACAGGTTTCTTATCAATCCCCAGATGTTTTGAGATCGGGTTATCGTAATTGCGATGTTGCCTTGGAATCCATTAAAATGTTTCAAAAATAAGTCAATGGTCAATCGCCAGTTGATTTTTTAAAAAACGGTAATAGATAATGAGCGGTAATCAATGAGATAAGAGTAATGCTAGTGCGTTCAGCAGAGAGGCTGTATTGCGACTGAATTGGAATTAATTTTCATCGCAATTAGCGTGACATTGAGGATTTAGGAAAGGCGGAAGTCGTGGAACTCCTGGAGATTTGCGCCGATCTAAAATTAAATTTGCATATAATGAAAAATTAATCAGATGTTATCATTGACGAAGATTACAGATCTTTATAGTTTTTTATAGTTCTTTAATTCGAAATCCTTACCATCACTCGACAAATTCTATTTCAGTTTACGAAACGCTAGAAGCCGATTTGTTAGATCCCGGAGTAGATCAATTGATTGTTTAGAATTTTAATTTGAGTTGGTGGAGTCAAAAATTTGGGTTTGAGGTGCAGCGATATCACAGGAAGAGGAACAGGAAGAGGAACAGGAACAGGAACAGGAAGAGGAACAGGAAGAGGAACAGGAACAGGAAGAGGAACAGGAACAGCTTTGAAGATGTTTTATTCACTGGATTTCTTCTCGCGATACAAATTAATGAGACGATCTGCCTCCCGCCATCCGGAGCCTATGGCCCCATGAACCATTGAGTAGTACCTCGGCTCCGTAGCTTCTCCGGCGAATAAAACAACTGGGATTCCCCCACGCATCACAGGTTCTCCCAGTTCTGCAGGTCCTGATTTCATGTTGACTGACTGCATCGTTTGATAGCTGTAACTTCCTCGAAAGTTCTCATTAGTGTTCCAGGATGATCTCTGGATCTCCGTGGGTTCCGTCAGATTGTACATGTTGCCAAAGAATCGATCGAGTATCTCGAGGGTTTGATTTTTGAACAGTTCCTCGGAGTTTTTCTCCATCTGCTCTAAATGAGCTCCACTCAACCAAATCTGGAACAGCTTTGGTCTCCATTCGACCTCGAAACCGTACGTCAGGCCCAGCATCCAGGCTCTTTCAGGCTGTAACACGAATTATAAAGATCAATTTCCGGTTTTACGTGAGGATTATTTTAATCTGGCTATTTACGTCATTTTCCAAGAGCTTCCGGTCATCTTCTGTCCAGAGGAAATTGTGGATGACCTGCGTCGGAACTTTTGCTTCGTGTGTCCACCAGGGGTTGTCGTGGTATATCAAAATTTTTCCATTTTTACCCATTCCAATCCTCTACGAATGATAAATCTGCAGTTTTATTAGGAATTGATGAATTAAAAATTAATGATCTTTTACCTCTATAGCATTTTTATTCTTCTCGGGTAACGGCGGCTCAAAAATTTTTTCATGATCGGCTTTCAAAACTCCCAATGAGCCCGTGAAAATAACATGATCAGCCGTATATTCTGTCCCATCTGCTGTAATGACTTTCACCGGTCCTTCTCCAGTAGAATTTATTTTTATTACCCTTTTGTTAAAAACAATTTTGTTCAGCACTGGCAGTTCCTCGTCAGCATTCGGATATCTTTTCTAAATTATAATACAGAAAAACGATCATTACTTCTGTGATAAAGCGCGGGGAATACCCGAGAATAATCGAATATAATTTCAACCCGCGGTCTAGATTTAAGTTCAAACGAGCGCCACAAGATGGCGAAAATTTTCACGAGACAAATTCCAATAGAGAATTCCTAGAGAAACGTTGGTGGAGTAAATAAATTCTTTTATTTATTATCTAGCCGGCATTTGATGGACGAGCAAAAAATGAACGATGATTCAATCCAAAATTATAACAATAATAATTATTATTATTATAAAAAATGAATTACCATGAGTATATCCAGAATAGTCGAATATGTTTTCTCTTTCCAGTTGAGGTCCCTCCACCCAAAACACGGCGGAGAATTTTTCACACCTAGTGCAGACACATCATCAGCACTTTCAGCACCAACAATCGCCATCATCACGAGTTCAATTGAATGTGTCAGGGGTTTATGGAATTTCGCCTGAATCTCTGGGTGCTCTCCAAAGAAATCATTCAACCTGAAATAAATAATCGCCATTTAAATTGAAATTGAATCAGACAATCGCCGAAGGGTCACCTCTTCCTCAGGTATTCCCCATATGATCCAGTCCTCAAATCATCAACTCCACTGATATTTTTTTCGAATTCGCCAACAGCTCCGACGAAGTCTTTGATACCTTCTGGTGGTAGAGTCGTCCCAGAGGAATCTACAAACAGTACATCATAGACAGGCTCTTGCGTGTCTCCTGGTTTCACAACTTTGGTCACAAGGTCGAAAGGTGCAGCGAGTTCATACCCCACATTGCCCACCTCTCCGTGGACCCATTGGGCCCCCATGTCCGTTGAATATTCTCCTGCAAAATATTATCTACGAATTAAACTTGATACTCTAACAATTGAAACAGGTCATATATTTCTCGGGTTACCTATTCGCACTGTCTTAATTCGCCCTCCAAATCTGTTCTCAGCCTCCAAAATTCTCACGTCATCAATTCCATTCTGGATTAACCTAGAGGCTGCAGCTATACCTGCGGGTCCAGACCCCACGATGATGACTTTAGGACTTCCATTCCCGGAAGTTGTTGAAGCACAAAGGAGACACAGAAATACGAGGCACTTCATCGTCGAATGAGTGGAGATGACTGGTGTTGATGAATTCAGTGGACCTTATATAGGCATCAGCTGTTGTGAGGAGTTGACCGTGTCACTATGGACTGATATAACTGATAATTGTTTAAAAATTCTGGACGCATAGGAAAATAATAATTGCTAGTGATAAATGCAGCAATTATTGCAGCCATTGATTCGATTTTAAATCGATTGCCTAGAGAAATTGGATGGCAAAATAAAAAATTAATCAGGAGATCAGGATGCGGAGTAAGTTTGGAATTTGATAATTAGGTAGATGATTTAATCGAGGTTGAGAGTTGATTAATTTATGTATAATTGATCTTTTTAGTGATTCGGCGTGAGGTATTGCGAGTGATTACGGGAGTTTAGGAAGTGCAAAATTGAAAGATGAATACCTGCAATTGACGGAGTAATAAGACTATTGAAGTGGTATATGTAGAGTAATTTTAGTTTGTTGTAGATGGGAGTAATTCATGGGCTCAAGGGCGAGGAACGAAATTACCCATCATAGCATCACTGAAAATATTCATGTCGTTATTGAAAAACTTTTTCATTTTATAAATAATTCATGAAACATTTGAAATTATAAATGTTATTTATAAATCATAAATGATAAAATTATGAATTATTTGTGTTCTCTAAAATAATTTCAATTGATCCGCAATGATCAATTGAATTAAATTTAATTAAGTTAATTCAATTATATAACATAAAGTATAATTTTCAATCTGAAACATTTCCCGCGCTTTTTAGAGATAATCGCATTTTTATAAATTGAAAAAAATTTGCTCATATACCCTTCCTTATATATTGGATCGATGGGGTTCCCGGAGATACGGTTCGTTTGATTTTTTTTCTTTCAAATTGCCATGAAAAAAAAAGGTATGGCATAAAAATTGTCTACAAAAGCATAAATGAACAATGGGTATATGATTATTTCAATACGAGAGATTCCTCCCCAGTATTGACTATTTTTTCATAAATCAAGTAATTAAAGTGAAACTCTTTCCACGTCACCCAAGGGGTAGAGTCCTTAACGCGTTTTTTTTTAAGTGGTATCCCCTGTAGGCCTAATCCACTAAGTCAATGAATGGGAAATTGTTATGATTTGAAAACCTGGAATCAAAAAAGAACCATGACATTTATTAATAATAAATAATAATGAATTAATAATAAATTTATCAATTTCTATGGATATTCTAGCTGCATTGTCGATGTTGAATCATCTCAGCAACACTGATGTGGGAGAAATATTGAACGAT